CTTCTTATTACATCACATCGATAGGCACTTCATGTCTGGTCGTCACAGTCAGCCATTTCACTGGGGAATGATAGATTTTTTAAAAATTGGGCCATTCCTTTTATTTATTTGCTGAAATCATTCACTAAAGGTGAACTTTTCTTTAATGAGTACATATATATTGTTATATATATTACCCTGAAATATAGTTCATATAGGAGTGCTGGGATAAATGCTGCTGCTTTTACTTGCCAAGGAGTTGATGGGGTTGGTATGTTGATACTGCAGTTACCTCCAGTAGTGATCACTGGGTTTTGGAAAAGCTTTCTCTCTCTCTCTCTCTCTCTCTCTCTCCCCGCCCACCCCTCTTCCTCTTCCTTGTCCTCTCTCCTTTTTTCTCTGTCTTTTATGCGTTTTTCATGTTCAGATTGACCAGTGAGAACTCCTTCATGTTGCCCACTAGATTTCAATACAACCCCATTTGTGTTTGGTAGCTTTCTTACTTTCTGGTACAAAAATGTTCCAGGTTTGTCTTGTACATTTCCTGTATATTCTTTTTTTTTTTGGAGACAGAATCTCGCTTTGTTGCCCAGGCTAGAGTGAGTGCCATGGCGTCAGCCTAGCTCACAGCAACCACCAACTCCTGGGCTCAAGCAATCCTCCTGCCTCAGCCTCCCAAGTAGCTGGGACTACAGGCATGCGCCACCATGCCCGGCTAATTTTTTCTATATATATTAGTTGGCCAATTAATTTGTTTCTATTTATAGTAGAGACGGGGTCTCGCTCTTGCTCAGGTTGGTTTCGAACTCCTGAGCTCAAACGATCCGCCCGCCTCAGCCTCCCAGAGTGCTAGGATTACAGGCATGAGCCACCGCGCCCGGCCATTTCCTGTATATTCTTGCATATTTCCACAGACCTGGAATTGGCCACTCCTCTGAGGAATGGCTAGTGAGGAGTGGTTTTTAGAAATCACAGTCTGGCACTAGAGTTGCCTGTTGCTACTAGGATGTCATTACGTCTATGCCTTTACAAGGGACAGAACTCGGAAGTAGGTAGGTTTGGAAAGAAAAGAAAAAAATTATGACCTTGTACTGATATTTTCAATTCAGATTTTACATTACTGTTAAACCTCTTTAAATTTATCTCTGCATCTTTAACATTGCAAATCTCTGGTCTTATGAGCATTATCATAATTACTTACTTGCTTATTCTACCAGCATATATAAAATAGTCTGAAAGCAATAGCACCACTATTACTGCTACTACTAAGATTATTGAATGAAGTTAAACATTAAGTTTTTTTTTCTGCATGGTGATATACATTGAGGTTCATTCACTTCCATTTACTTTTGATTCATAGGCAATGTTCCTAAAATTTATTTATCTGAATATAGAGACCATCTGCCTTACTCCAAAGCCTAAACTATGTAACAAGATATATCCAGAGAAGTTTAGCTTTCAGCCTTTTTTTCCCTTTACACTCCTTACCCTCTCGGTTACCATTTTGCTTTTTTTTTTTTATTGTTGCTATCCTTCAAGTGTATCTTTTTACAAATAAGGGGAAATGTGCATCACTTATTGCTTATCTGAGTATTAATTAATGCCCCTTTAGGGTATTTTACAGATTTTGGACATTTGACAACAGAAGCATAATCATTTGAACATCTCTTGGAAATGAAGAGTCTCTAATGGCTATATTTTCCTCTAATTACTTCATGCAATTTGTTTCCTTTTTCAAATAGGTCATGCCTGCATTAAAAGATAAAATGTTTGCTACTTGATATGTACTTGGGCTATGACAAAATAAAATAACCGTTTTATGAGATGATGCAAATATTCAAGAGGCAAGCTATGCGCTTGAGGAATTAAACCCATTTATAGTTATGTTATGATTACATGAATGCTAAAATTTGAGCTATGAGGATCAAGAAGAATAAGGAATAATGATTAATTTGAAGAATCAACATAAAACTAATTTTCATAATTGTCTTTGGGTATTTGTTCCTTTTGATCAAATCTGAAATATAGAAATGACTACATTATAGTTTAGCATCTTAAGTACTAATACTCTAATTTCTCCCAAATTCTGAATATTTATTTATATATCTAAGTCAGATAAATTGAATACTTGGCGTGTTCGTTTTCTATTTCCACATAACAAGTGACCCTAAAACTTAGCGACCTAAAGCAATAAACATCTATTACTTCCCAGTTTCTTGTGGGTCGGGGATTTGGGTGGCTCTGGCTCAGGTCTCTCGCCGAGCTCTGACTGGGACTGCAGCACCCAGAGGCCTCCCCGAGGCTGGAGAAGCCACTTGGGGCTCACACGTGTGGCTGTGTTAGCAGGAGGCTCCCCAGGCCTCTTCCTGAGGCAGCTTCAGCGTCCTCACGACATAGCAGCTGGCTTCCCCCAGACCGGGTGATCCAAAAGAGACCAAGGCGGAAGCCGCAGTATCTTTTATGACCTGGCCTCGATGGTCATGTGATTATTTTCACTGTGCCCTGCCAGCCATTCAGCCCAGCCCGTTGAGTGTGTGCTAGGACTGCACAGGTGTGGGAAGGGCAGGAGGCCACCTGCCACACTTGGGCTTAGTGCTTGCGAGGCTTTTATTAATAATAAAAGAAAGCAAAATAGGAAGATTGTGTGTGTGTGTGTCACTGAGCTAAGTATGAGGTTTCATAGTAACATTATTGTGAAATCTCAGTTGTCTGTCTTTATTTGTTGTGAGGGATTAGTTTAAAATACAACATGGGAATTTGTTTCTAAAGACGGACTGTATTTCTGAGATTGATTAAAAATTGAAATCTGAAGAAGAAACATGAATTGTTGCATAAGGAAAAATATTTTTTGATCAAAGTGTTTTTTTTTTCTCCCAATCATTGAAGAACTTCCCTGTTCAGAAGTTTCTGTAAAAACTCATGGACATGATTACACTAGTTTTTACCTGTGGCATCATTTTGTTACCATTTAAAAATGGCTGTTCACTTTTAGGAGTAAATAAGTAAGCCATTGTGAGGGAACTTTTGAACTTTGTGTGCGGTTTAGTGGCCAGTTATTCAGACTTTGATAATTTGGATTACTGGTTTCATAGTGTTTGCACACAATAGCTGAATAATGAGGATCATTAAACTCCCTGTGCAGACATATCCAAATTGTGTTTGCCTCTAACCTCGGAGGCTCTGCGTGGCTGGAAGGTGAGGGCTGGCTCTTTATTCGCTTGTCAAGCTGTGAGTTTGCATTACAGGCCAAGCAGCTCATGACCCCATTCTATTTATGTCCCTGTTTTGTCGTGGGGAAAAACAGGTAAAGGAATCCTGCCGAAAATCCCTCTTTCCGCACGCTTTTATGAATAACGCCAGTGTTCATAGCAGTTAGGGCGCTGTGATCAAATCCTCCAAAAGATGTAATGTTAGCAGCATGCAGCCATTGTGGGCCGCAGCTGTGGGCGGTGTTGGGTTCTCAGGGAGACGCTGCTCATTCAACAGAAAGCTCTGGAGCAGAACTTACTCCGCGATGAAATAGGAGGGAAAAAGTAATGCTTCAGGGAGAGAAACGTGGAGAAGCAAAGCGCTGTCTAGAGGCATGAGACAGTAAAGATTGGCAGTGAACAAGGCCAATAGGAATCCAAAGTGATTTTTATAGCCAGGTGACGTTAGGTGATGATAGTGATCTCACTGGGCAGGAGAAAGTATATCATTCTGTTATGTGTTATTCTGTAACGTTCAAAACCGAAGAAATAATAAGAGGATTGTTTTTAAAACTGTGTATCAGTTACTGCAAAAGTAACTTAGAAGCTAAAATCAAAATAACTTTCAAATTCTAGTGAATTCTCTCTTGAATTTCAAAGGAGTTGGAGGCCGGGCGCGGTGGCTCACGCCTGTCATCCTAGCACTCTGGGAGGCGGAGGCAGGTGAATCATTTGAGTTCAGGAGTTCGAAACCAACCTGAGCAAGAGCGAGACCCCGTCTCTACTATAAATAGAAAGAAATTAATTGGCCAACTAATATATATACAAAAAAAATTAGCCGGGCATGGTGGCGCATGCCTGTAGTCCCAGCTACTTGGGAGGCTGAGGCAGAGAATCGCTTGAGCCCAGGAGTTTGAGGTTGCTGTGAGCTAGGCTGACGCCAGGGCACTCACTCTAGCCTGGGCAACAAAGTGAGACTGTCTCAAAAAAACAAAACAAAACAAAACAAAACAACAAAAAAAAACGTACTGCCTACTGTGGACAATCAAAACAGCTTTGCATACAGTTGGGACACAAGGCAGCTGCAGGCAGTATATTTCTTTGGAAAGATCCAAGACTATGAACCAACCTTGAATGACCCCACCCTTGTCGGTCACTCATATTTTCAGGCTTATTTCTGCCAGTAGTCTCCTAAATCACGATGCTCTTTCCCTGTTTTTCTCCTGCTGCTGTTCTCTCCCTCTTTCTCCTTCCCTCCAAATTAACTCGGTTAGCCCACAACTGAAAATGCCTGTATCGTCCCTGGCTTCTGGCCTCAGTTTATAATTCCTTCACTTGCCCTGTTTCTTCTTTCTCTTTCCCTCCCTTTTCGTTGATACCCCATATTTCCCCATGTGTGCCTTCCTTCTTCCCACACCACAGAGAACATTACTGTGCTGTTTTCTTGATATAATTTTAATTGGAAGGCTGGGCGCGGTGGCTCACACTTGTAATCCTAGCACTCTGGGAGGCCGAGGTAGGTGGATCGCTCAAGGTCAGGAGTTCAAAACCAGCCTGAGCAAGAGGGAGACCCCTGTCTCTACTAAAAATAGAAAGAAATTATCTGGCCAACTAACATATATATAGGAAAAATAATTAGCCGGGCATGGTGGTGCATGTCTGTAGTCCCAGCTACTCGGGAGGCCGAGGCAGGAGGATGGCTTGAGCCCAGGAGTTAGAGACCAGCCTGGGCAACTTAGCAAGTAATGCTTATGTTTTGCGTTTCTGATAATGTGTTTTGAGTCGGATTATCCTTGTTCTAACTTTTTTTCCCTTCTCTCTTTTCCTTGGCAGCGTCATCAGCAAAGTGGTCCCCGCCCCCGAGGCTAAGCCTGCGCCCTCCCTGAACCGGCCCAAGACGCCGCCCCCGGCCGCTGCGCCCCTGGGCCCCGGCCCCGCGCACGTGGGCCCCGCGCCAGCGCCCGCGCCCCTGGCCCCCGCCTGCCCGGCGCTGCTGTCCCTGCCCGGCCCCGCGGCGGCCGGCAGCGCCAAGGCCCCGGTGCGGAGCGTGGTGACCGAGACCGTCAGCACTTACGTGGTGCGTGCAGCCCCCCGCCCCCGGTGTGCGTGGCTTCCGCTCGACAGGTGTCCTGTGTGTGGTTACCAAATTTCAGAGGCAGTTCTTCCCGCCAGCAAAGCATCTTCACTGCGCTGTCCGGGTTTGGGCCGCGAAGGGTCAATACTGCTGCGCTCGTGTGTTCGGCCTTCATAAGTAATGGCAGAGCGCTGTTCTCCTTTATATTGTTTTGGAATATGACTATATGCATATACACAGCAGTATCGGTGCATAAATGCAGATGAATGGTGGTGTTTAAATCCCACATTGAACTTCCTGATCAAGCAATTAAACCATTCACTTTAGAGTATAGGGCGTGGTGGCACACACCTGTAGTCCCAGCGACAGGGAGGCTGAGGCAGGAGGATGGCTTGAGCCCAGGAGTCGGAGGCTGCAGTGAGCTATGGCCATGTCTCAGCATGGTAGGGAAAAATTAAAAACAAAAAACCAAATTTTTTTTTAAAGAGTGCAATTTATGTCATGTACACAGATCTCATGACCCGGCTGGTATTTCTAAGTAACAGCGCCAATCTCAGTATTTCGTTGGCTAAGGTCCAAACTGTACCAGGGCTTGCATGTCAGATGGAAATGAACTTTTAGACCACAGAGCTTCCTGAGCACCCAAGTGGGACTTCACAGTGTAAAACCCACCGTGTGGAATGAGTCCGCCTTGTGCTGGGACTGTTTTTAGGTATTTTTTTCTCCCACTTAGTATGAGGTCTTGTTCAAACCCCGAATTCAATCTAGTAATGCAGTGTTTATGCAGATGTGTTTTTAGGGCGATGTAGAGTAACACAAGCACGTGACACAATGTTTAAGGCCCGTGGAGGCAGTGACATAGCTGTGACTGCCCAGTGTGCAGCCCGGGATAGCGCCGGTGCTTGTGACTAGATACTGATGTGGTCAGTAGAATGAAACATATATAAACATACATACACCTCCGATACACCTGTCACACACAAAGCCTTTTTTTTTTGTATATCTAGTCAGTGTTAACACTTAGTAGCATATAGGAAGAGAGTAGACCTTGCAGAGTAAACCTAATGAAATGGTATATGCTATCTTATCGCAAAAACTTTTGAAAATTACCTTTTACTTACTGCTGGTTTTGAATGCCCATCAGAAAATTATTTCCTCCAGGTTGATTTTGTTAATGCACAGTTTGAGGAAGTGGTATAGCGCTTCCTATGTAGAAGTGAGAACTGCTACTATGTAGAACTGCTAAGTTAAGTAGACTCTAGAGCATACAGAACTTGCAAAAAAATAACGTTTCAACGTATAGCTCTTTGGCCTCCTGAGCGCCTTATTTCATTTGCCCTTTAGTTGACTGTACTTAACTTAAAATGTCATAAAGGGAATGGAAAGTTACTTAGTAACAACTCTTTTATATCCTTGATCTTATCAGCTAGTTCAGGAGGAGGGTTGGCTAATCAGTAATAAGGAGATGCGTGCACATTTGGCTGTATGTATTAATTCCAGGCCTATGAGTGAGTGTGATTGAAGAAAGTATATACAGTTGAGCTCTGTAGCTTTCAAAAATAACAATTGTTACTGCCATAAAGACCCTAATCATTAAGAATGTATGTGGTTGTAGGATTTTCTACATGAAGGAAGTTACAGGTCATATCGTTCACAGAGATTATTATAAAATGCTTTGTTTTTTACGACTTACAAAAAAGAGTTTGGAATGTTCATTAGAAGTGTCTTATCGTTGAACACTTGGCAGTTTTCTTTTTCACATGATTCCAGAACAGTGACGCCCGTGACATAGCTTTAATCAAAGTGCTCGTCTGCTGTACTTTTACAGTTACATTTGTCTGTTTAGTAGGTGTACGGTGTACAGTAATAACTCTTACCTGGCCTCTTTCTGGTTCTTTCTCCCCCATGCGGTCTCCGGCTTCGCCCCTCCCCCTGGGAAAACATCAGATCCGGGACGAGTGGGGCAATCAGATCTGGATCTGCCCCGGGTGTAACAAGCCGGACGACGGGAGCCCGATGATCGGCTGTGACGACTGCGATGACTGGTACCACTGGTGAGTGCCCGGAGCGGCCGCCGCGCAGTCAGGACTCGGGTCCCTCCCGAGAGGAGGAATGCCCCAGGACAGACTAGTGCCTTCGCTAGTTCGGCTCAGGACAGCGTACAGACCAAAACCCCAGAGCCTGCGGACTGTAATTAATTACACAAACAGAGTCTTTGGAAATTCTGAATATTTTGCTTAGCTTCTCATTTAAAAAAAAAAAGAAAGAAAGAAAAGAAAAGGCAATTCAGAGGTCTCACCCTTTCCTTCCTTTCTAGTCATGTTCTGTAAGAGGTGCAGGACTTGACAGAGCCTTTAAAGAGGTAACCCCTCTGTGAGCACGGTACAAAGACAGCTCGTCTGTCTGTTAAACCTCTTCAGCGTTTCCCCAAAACCGAAGAAGCTCAACCAAAATGTGCGCAGATCATCTCATCGTGTCTTTGAAGTGTCAGGTACAGAGAGATAGCAGTCTGTTCAGTTACGATGTGGGACATCCATATGGTAAACACAAAGCTGTTGCTCAGAATGACGCTGGTCCTGCCTGACAGGGCCGTGGGCTAATTAATGTTATTAATCAATCAGCTAATGGAAGAGGCCTCATGCAGTGTAGTAACCCCCAGGCCCGCCACAGAAACTAGAGCTGTTTGACTTTGATTTCTGGTCAGTCTGAGACTTTAAAAACTATTTAAACACACCAACAGGAAAAGAACACACACATATATATAAAACTTTTGTTTGTCTGATTTCCTTTTTTTTTTTTTTCCAACGTGCAGGCCCTGCGTGGGAATCATGGCTGCACCCCCCGAAGAAATGCAGTGGTTCTGCCCCAAGTGCGCCAACAAAAAGAAAGACAAGAAGCACAAGAAGAGGAAGCACCGAGCACACTGACGTCCGCCCGCACGTGGCCGGACCCCTTCCCTGGCTCCTGAGCAGGAGGGGAGCCGTGTCGTTCCGCCGCCCAGCTGCCCCCAGTGCCCAGGATGGTGTCTGAGCCCGGAAGACGGAGGGCAGGGACCAGCCACCCTTCCCCTTCCGAAGCGAGTCGGCCTGCGGCTCCGCGGTGGCGAGACGGAAGGAAAGCCAACACCCAGCTGGAGGTGCGGTGGCAGCAAGTGTTACTAATAAAAAGGCCGTGCATCTTCCCTTTGGATTTTTTTTATTCTCTCCAGGGCCTTTTCATGAAGGTATTAGATGAGAAGATAATGTGTAAACTGCCTTGACTGTGATTTAAGGATGATGCCCTTAGTCTGTATACAGTTTTCAGCCCCCTTCCCTCTTATAGTAAGATAATCATAATTAACATAAAAGAAAACTCCAGTTGGAGGATTGGTAAATATTTTTGTGATAAGAATATATGAAGCTTCCCTCCCTCCCTCCTCCCCCCACCCCACCCCCCGCCCCCGTTTTTAGTACTAACATGTAAAATGTTCAGGCTTTTGTGAAATACCTTATATTTTTTAAGAAAAAGGTTTCTATCATGTCCTGTTTGCTTTGTGCAAATTATTTTTGTTTACTCTAATGTATTTTATATCTCTGTTGCATTCTTAATTTTGCCCTTTAAAAACTGCTGGAGTCTCTTCTCACTGCTTGTACATTTCATCAACTTGTATAAAAACTCTTCATACTAAAAGATTTCCCCTCATGTAAATAATAAATATTTATGAAGTAGTTATTTTTAAAATTTTTTTATCGTGTTTAATTCTGGCTTTCTCTGAAATCCACTGCGATTTCAGCCATGTCTGTAATTACGCTGTATATAAGCAAAGAAGGCTAGAGAAAAAGAGCCATAGTTCAAAGTAATTTACCTTGAGCTAAACCTGTGCAGTGCCCAAAAACATTGTGGGGGAAAAAGGCCCTAGCAGTTGGAAGAAAAACAAGGCAATTTAAATCTGTAGTTTATGATTTGAAATTGTTTTGTTTGTTATCTTGCTTTTGTAAATTTCTTTGACGTTTGTTAAAAGGACATGTAGGTTCCACAAAAGTAAAAAAAAAAAAAAATAACAAAAAACATATACTGTAGCATTTTGTGTTTATATTGTTTTATTTCTACAAATCTGTTCGTTGATATTGTGCTTTAAGGCTGAAATGAAGTATATTATGAATTTTTTTTTAAGAAAACTCATCAAATTTCAGGGTATCACAAAATTTTATTATATTACTATACTGCCCACTATTTATTATATGTTATAGATGTCTGAGAGGTAAACCAAATATTTTATTTTTAATGTAAAAACATCAAATTTAACTTTATTAGCATATTTTAGCAACTTTGGAATAAATATGGACTTTTACTTGATTTTGAAATAATCCCAATTTGGGCCCGTGTGATGGATCTCTTGAATGCTAGAATATGGGCTTTGAACCTAATACAAATATATTAATAGAAAATGTGATTTTTTTAAATGCCAAGTAAATTGATATTAGTGTATGAATTAGTCATATTTTAAAACGTATTATGTGGTTAGAGAAATGTGGTTTTCTGCCATGAATGTTAAATTGCAAATCAGTGGAAATGGAGTAGACCTTTCGAGTACAGGATACCATTGCCCTTCTTGTTCCAGAGGCCAGACTTTTTCTATCCCTGCAAAAAAGAAAAAGAAAAAAAAAAACAACAAAGCATCTATGTTGAGATATGTGGTTTTTGTTTTATTAATTTGAGATCGTTCTAAATACTTTATACAATATTTTCACATGCACAAACATACCCGGTAGTGCTTTTTGGAGAGGGACGAGGGGTGGGGGAAGTGCAAAATAAAGATTATTGGCTATTTCATAGTTTGCTTTTCCATTTTCTTTATTTAGGATTTAGTTCCCTGAGGCATGGTCAGTGGATCTGGAGTTGCCACGTTTAAGTGAGCAGGGCACGCCACTGCAGAAAGAATGGAGTGCCTGTATATAACTTTTCCCCCAGTCCCAGTGTCTGAGAGACTCCAGCCCATGCTACATTTAAGGAATTTCAATCAGTTTGTTGTCCCTTGCTATTTCATGGTTGCTTTCCTAAATCCAGTTCATGATTTTATAAATGGTCTTTGCAATAATAAAACCAAAGAATCATTTTCAGGGGGCTGGATGGCTCGAGGGATTAGTAATGGAATACAGAGCCCTTCACCTCTAGGTCAGTGAGTCGGATCCAGCCCGGGTCACTGGAGACCAGAAGTCGTCACCGTCTTACGACTGTTCAGTGGCCTGTGTGAAATGAACCGGTGGTCCCCGTCTCCACTGGGTGGCTGCCTGTGACACCAACCAAAGGAAGCTCAAGAAACTGCAAAAAGAAATGTGGATTAGAAAATAAAACATCTGTGTCACACAGAAAGTTGGAAAGTTGGGCATAGTAGCCGTCCTCCATAAAGTGACACCGAAAGAAAAACCAACTTAACAAACACTGCAGACATTGCAAAGACAGTAGAGACGAATTTACTTTTTTCCTTCGTGAAGTCAAACAGGATAGGCAAAGAGAAAGCTTTACCCTGGGCGAGTGGGGAGAGAGATAAATGGGAGACGATGATTTATTTAATCAGGAGGAAAACTTCAGGCGGCCCAAACAATAAGGAAAAAAAAATGGGTTCTGACTTTTGAGAGAGAAGGAAATCACAAAAGGCAGCAGGAATTTGAGGAGCTAGTGAGCATCAGATGCATAGGAATGAAAAGTATTTCCCTTTGGAGGGTTAGAAGTTTTCCAGTTGGAAGTAAAATCGTGACCTGTGCGAATTTATCCCGGCGCTATCATTGGAATAGCATCACCGCTTGATTAAGAGAGGCAGTCGGGGGGGAAAAAAAATTGTCCCGGCTACTGATCTCACTAGAGGAGATGGTATTTAAGAAACTGAGAGACCCTCACTCACGGGAAACTGAGAAGCTCTTCTGGTGCGATAATCCGCCTTCGGAGCCAGGTGTGGCTGGCAGAGTGTCATTTCTGCGGCCAACAAGGTGTTCCTTTTCCAAAGGTGTCTGCAGCTAAGCACGGTGGGGGTCCGCCGCCTGGTTTGTGGCTCCAAACGTCCCGAAGAAAATCAGAGGGTATCAGAGTATCCTGACTTTGTCGGGCTTTTTGCAGAGATAAAATATAATGCATTACTCTCCTGTATCAGCTACACCGCCTTTGTTCCCCGTTCAATGGGACGATTAAACAAAGACCTGCTAACCAAATGAAAGTATAGAATGAACTCGGAGATACGGGGACCTCGCCACCGCGCATGCCAATGAATGAAGTTCACCCACAGGCGTGCTGGCTAAGTTTTCAACACAAACAGTGTCACGGCCAATCTCTCTGGATCACAGCAGGTTGGAGTCTGAAAGTGGATGAGTTACCTCGACTGAGGAACGAAACAGATAATGTCCCGAATAACGCCTCTCTCCACAACGGTGTCAGTCACTCTGTTAGCAAACTGTCTCTCTGAGCATCTTGCATGAGCTGTGGCCCAGAAAGTATAAAGTAGCTATTATTCCCTGTGTGCAGGCCAGTGGGTGATGTCGAAGTGAGATGCAGACATGGACGGCTGAATGGTTTGTTCTTTTCACTTAAAGAGAAGGTTTAGTCTACATATGAGTTATTAAAACGACGACTAGTTTCTTGTTTTCATCCTGGATGACTCTGAGTTTCGTTTGTGGAACAGCGTTAAACATTTCCATCCGTTCCTTATTTCCTAGGCACATTTTATGCAAATGCCAACGAGCACGGCCTATCAGAACCAAGTTCATTTCCAGTAATCCGGTTCCTGAGGTGCATCAGAAAGTTATATCATTCTGTTATGTGTTATTCTGTAACGTTCAAAACCGAAGAAATAATAGAGGATTGTTTTTAAAACTGTGTATCAGTTACTGCAAAAGTAACTTAGAAGCTAAAATCAAAATAACTTTCAAATTCTAGTGAATTCTCTCTTGAATTTCAAAGGAGTTGGAGGCCGGGCGCGGTGGCTCACGCCTGTCATCCTAGCACTCTGGGAGGCTGAGCCGGAAGGATCACTCAAGGTCAGGAGTTCGAAACCAGCTTGAGCAAGAGCGAGACCCGTCTCTACTATAAATAGAAAGAAATTAATTGGCCAACTAAAAAATATATAGAAAAAATTAGCCGGGCATGGTGGTGCATGCCTGTAGTCCCAGCTACTCGGGAGGCTGAGGCAGGAGGATTGCTTGAGTCTAGGAGTTGGAGGGTGCTGTGAGTTAGGCTGAGGCCACAGCACTCTAGCCCGGGCAACAGAGTGAGACTCTGTCTCAAAAAAAAAAAAAAGGATTGGGAA